AGGGAATAAAACAAAAGTCTGGAGTCAAATAAGCCGAAGCGTTGATTGTGTTGCGTTTATTTTTTCTTCTAATTTACTATGGGATCCGCCCCGCCGGCCTCACCGACAACTGAGAGCGACTGAAAGGAGAGAAAAGGGTTTATAATGAAGAAGGGCCCCGTTTAGAGGCAACTGCGAGTTTGCCTGTGACCAAATTACGTTTATATGCAGCTTATCATTACGATTACTGCGAGTAATCAATATACAACAACTTAAAATACATATAATTAATGACACATATAAGCAAGATTCGTGAAATGATAGAAAATACTAATAATTTATTCAGTTCAAAAGCAGGCACGCGATGACCTCCTCATATGTATTTGTCACTGAGCGCGTGTGAAAACACTATGGTGAAAACCGTGAAAACGAACTGGCTGACTTTTAAAAAAAAAGTAAAGGATAATAAAACAGATTATTAAATATGTAAAATAGCTGTATTATATTGCAGGACTGTGTTTTATTTTATTTCGCTGATAAACAACAAGTATTTCTAACATCTTGCTAAATCATCACCCCTTGGCTTCCACAACTCTTTACTCGGTACTGGGTTTAATCTCTTAAAACAACCAAAACAAATTCTACGTTACATCATTAGAAGAACACATTTAAAGGGATAGTTAAAAAAAAAAAGAAGCTAAATCTGTCTTCATTACTCACCCTGAAGTTGTTCCAAACCTGTATGAATTTCTTTCTCTGCAAAGCCCAAAAGAAAAGATATTTAGAAGAATGTTGGTAACCAGACACCATAACTTCCATAGAATGGGTGAAAATACTATGGAAAATAATGGGGACCAATAACTGTTTGGTTAGGTTACCATACGACATTCTTAAAAAATATCGTCTTTTGTGTTCAGCAGAAGAAAGAAATTCATACAGATTTGGAACAACTGGAGGGTGAGTAGCTAAACGATGACAGCATTTTCATTTGTTTGAACGAACTATCTCTTTAAACGAACAAAACAAATTCTGTTAAATCATCAGAGCACGTTTATTTATTGTAAATCAAATGATCGGTCAGCAGATGGCACCAGATATATTCAGGTAAATGCAGTCACTCGAACTTTCTTTTCAGCCACCATCTAAACAGGAAGACCAAACCTTCACAAAAAACAAAAAAAAACCAGGAGGTAAATGCAATAAATGATTTTTTTTTTTAATGAATCAGGGCATTAATATTTAATCATTCACATTTTCTCTTTTATTTGTATTGGGTTGAGCATATGTAATTGGATAAGGCTATTGAATCATGCTAAATATAGGTTTAAGGTTTTGAAGCATTTTTTTTTCCTTACAAAGAAGGGGTGCAACTTGTACAATATGAATTTCTTGTAAAGAATGTAACACTTGTAACTTACAAGTATTACATTCTTTACAAGAAATTCATATTTCAGAACTATGTTTTCATCAGCCTTTTCGTGCAATTTATTTAATAATTTGTAAGCAAGCTTGTTTTCGTTTTCTTTCTGTAAAACTCAAATGTTGTAAACTAAAACAATGTGGATGCAGTGGCATGAGGTTTTGTTTGGCAAATACAGGAAGCAGTTAACATGGTTGCTCTGCTCTTTGATAGCGCTGTTCTATTGAAAGGGTGTTTTCTTTCAGGAATAATACTGATTAGAGGAAGATCTCATGGGAGAACGAAGCTCCCTTTCAACGAGTGACTCATTTCCGCTCGCTGTTGTGTTTAGTAACAACAGCAGCAGCAGTCCTCAACTTAAACATTTAAAGTCCTTTAATACCTCTTTCAATGACACATGAGCATCTCCTTTAAACACTGATCATCCTAACAAGTAGAATGGAACACTTGTAGTCACAGCAATGTCCAAATAAGAGTGTTCACACACAAGCTTCTCAAAAACAAGCCAACAAAAGCGGAGATTGGGCAGAAAGCAGTAGCCTGGCTATTGCTGTTCCAGAATATACGCTATCAGAGAGTCAACAACACATCCAGGCTCTCTCTCTCAGGAAATACGCCATATGTGATTACTCAGCCTGTGATGGATCATGTTCCCAGAATTCCAAAGGCGAACCCTAATTAAAACAGAGCATGTCAAACACATACAGTAAGAGTATTTTGTTATTTAGACAAGGCATGTAACACGGCAAGAATCAGTCAGTCCAATGGCATTTCCTATTAGGGCTGGACTTAAATAAATCAGTCAACTCTTGCAGGCACAAAGTACTAGGACTCTACGAGGAATGATGATCTCTAATATTCTCAATTCTGGTTAATCATTATGAAGATTCTGTTGCTGGTTCCTAAATCCTAGCTTTGCAAATTATCATCAATGGTTATTTATCAATACTAACACTATAGCTACATATTTCAACACTGTCACAGTAGGTTTGGAATTCGTGTCAACATTTTAATAGATGATTAAGTGAATTCTGGTAACCCTCAGTGTGATTATTTGTAATAAAAGCAGATATTTCCTCGAAAAAGGAATAATCCATGCTGAACTATCTTTTTCAAAACATGTCTTGTGCAACAACCAACTTTTGACTTTAATTCTGGGTTGAATGTTACAGGGACAAGTCAAATCGTATTTGATTTTATGCTATAAAAAGTGGTTGATATGAATTTTTTTTAAATTAGTTTGAATTTCAATTGTTTTCTTCTCAGTATGCCAAAAGGCAGTCTTTTAAATAAAACTTGAAATAAATCCAGGCTCAAAATACCACCATAGACAATGGGCCACTAGGGGGTTAATGTCCCCTAATATTCAGATTGCTAATCATGATCATAATAGTCCCAAATCTAAATATGTGGTTACAGCCTTGCAAAGTGTAAACAGTCATTTATCTATAACGCTACATCATTTCAATACTGCACAACTGTTGGAAATGCATGTACTCAAACTTTGAATTGAGTGGAGTTTTCCTTAGTGTACCTTCTAATAAACCTGATATTTAAAAAGGAATAACTCATAAAAGATAAACTTGTTGCATTAATTATGAGTTGAATGTAACAAGGTCAGTGCAAAATGGCAAAATAGAAAATATCCATTCGTCCCACCACATTATTTACAGTAAATATTTTCTACTATTTTTCCCCCATTTCACATTTGAAATTTTATGCTATTTTGATGTCAGTAAAATTTTGGTCGTTTGATTTTGTGCTATAAAACACACAATTTGGGACATGCAAATGTAATTGTTTTTTTTTTAATCGCATAAAACAATTGAACTCATTTTAAATTTATTTTATTTTTTATTTTACCATATTTTGCTGTGGCTCTCAGATTTTCATGGTTCTCTTTGAAAATATGTTTTTTTTAAATGCATATACTCTTAAAGTTTATTAGTGTATACATTAAGTGAAGCCTGCTCCTATCCTGCACCTCTTTATGCACAAAGGAAATATTGCATGCATGACATGCATCATTTTTAGAAAATGCTAATAACATATCTTCCAGATGCCATTAGCCATGTTGATATGTTCACTTCATCCCTAACCATTTTTGAAGGAAACTTACTCGGAGTTAAGAAAGCTTTTCCTGCCAAGTAGATGAGTTGACAGTCAGTGGTTTCCGAGGCACGGTATCAAAACCCCTTCCCCTATCAGGGGGGCCATCTGGAGTTATCCAACCAATCAGAGTCCAGCAGGGTGATCAAGTGAAAGCAGTCATGGCTCATACCACCCCTGTCATGCTTCATCTGTGCTCATTTCCTGTACATCCTCTGGGTTTGCTGTGTCCAATCCACAGGAAACTGTGGACGCCGTACACTTTTTAACAGTTATACATTTAAAAAAGTAAAAAAGTCGTTTTAGTAAATGTTTCAAAAATGGAAACATCTGTATTCTTGTGTAATCTGTTTCCCCCCAAAAAATTATAGTAACTATAATTATACTATATAAGTAAGAAAAAATATACAGGCTATGTGTGTGTGTGTGTGTGTGTGTGTGTGTGTGTACAATCTTAAAATAAGGTTATTCATTTGCATATGGATCCATGCAGCGCAGAACATAAGTTTCTTTAAAGTGGAAAAATATTTCTTAGACCTTTAAATGTTGGAACCTATAACCTATATGTACAAAAAAATGTTTACATTGAACTTAAATGTGTAGTGAACAAAAACTCATGAAAAATAAAAAGATTTTGGACACTCAAATATTGTCTCCCACAATATTGTTACATATGATTAGATGAAATGAAGTTTGCCTAAGTTGTAAGTCAGAAGAGTAAAATCATCTGAAGGGATCACTGACCTCTGTTCAGGCACATCTTCTGGCTGAGCTGCTGCCACTAATCACTGATGTTGTCTGGGACCCATTCAGTGTCCCAACAGTGTTGTGCGGGGTGTTTTATCTCGTGGGCCAGTCCCACCGCTGACACTGCCCGAGCAGCTCTGGCAGGAGATAAGAGGAGTTTACCCCAACGACATCCAGCAGAGATGAGCCTGAGATACATCACAAGTCAACGCTGCATTTGCTGTGCCTGTTAGCTTCATCGCAATTACAGAATGTGATTATTTTTAATATGCTTTGCAGCTAAAAAAAACTAAAAACTAAAAATCAATTACAATTGTAAACATATTTAAACAATCATGAAACAAATAAACAGCAAACACGTAAAAAAACCACGTTTTTTGTTTTGTTTTTAAAATAAATAACATGTGAAACATGATAACTTGTCTCAAGCTTGAATGTGTGCTATGGTAGCCTAATATTATAATAGCTTGGAGAAAATAATTCAATTGAATTGAGTTCTAGTCTTTTAAACCAACATAGTTTACATCTGACTTGCATTTTAATTATTGACACGCAACCTTGTGACAACTAGCCCCGGACTCCCTTTATTATAGCTAATTATGTTGCAGCTGTGTCCTTGTCATTTGGTCAACATTATCGCTCTGATGTTAATTAGCGATGTGTTTCCAGCTGAGCTGTCCCCAAATCTCTTTATTGTTCAGGTCACAGGTAGCCTATTTGACGAGGAGTCTGTTTGCGCTCGTGACCCCTCCAGTCACGAGTCTCCGGGTTTATAATTGACTGTCGCGCACGCTGGAGCGCTATTTCCTCTCATTGTCGAGCCGTCGTGAGCAGGAAGTCGGAAAAGAAAGCAGAAACTGAGGGGGCAGGGCCATTTAAAAATACCTGCTCCTCTACAATAACGGGACCACAGACAGACAGCAGTCTTGTGGGACGGTGCTGAGGACTTGCCGCGCAGAGGAGACACGCTTGACGCAAACGCGATATTTATCACGCAGTGTCACTGGAGGAATTGTGAACGCGTATTATTCTAAAACAACATACAGCATGAGGATTGCATGCTTGGAGACAGATCTGATCTGATCTGTACAGCCGAAGAAGCTAGATTGGGTGCACGTATAATGTGTGCTGTTGATCTTTAGTGCACTCAGAAGGCAGCGAGCAGGTGCATCTCTGAAGCGTTCATCCAGCAGGACGTCGATGGTCTTTCAGCACCGCAGACTGCGAGTGTGGGACATATTTGAGTGGAAAGCGCGCATATATTAAATGAACTGAATTATTCCTGAACCAAATTTAAAATGGCATCTACAATTGAACGGAAAACACTGGATGCGAATGAGTAAGTAATTTATTGTTTAGGTTTCCATAATTAATTAGTTTGATTGTATGATATTTAGCTAAACAACAATTAGACAACTAAAATAAGCACTACATTAGGGTAACATAGGCTATTTAGATATAAGTTTAGCATGTGCAGGGTGATGATGCATCAGCCAATGTGTTATTATAGGAAATAAATAGACACATTTGCTAATGTAGTTGTTATAGAACAAAATGTAAAATTATTCAAAGAGGCCCTGGGGTAAGAGAAGAAGCCCCCCTGGCTAAACTTTTACAGAATGTATAAATTACTTTGATATCATTCTTCTTGCTAAATTATATATATATATATATATATATATATATATATATATATATATATATATATATATATATAATTAGTATCAATAGCCTAATGTAAAATACATTTAACTATTCTAATTAAAATAAATAAACTATAACTAACAATGTAATTTAGCTAGTGAAGTTATTAATAACCAGTGTCAAAGCATATAATCTCAGTATAAGATATTCATCTGAAAGGTAAAATGATTCTGTAATTTTATATAGGCGGTGAATATTTACATATTTACATATTTAATTACCCATATTTTAATTGGAGATATGTCATGACATAAATGCAAATTGAATGATTTCCCTTAACTAACCTATAGATTTTAACGAAAGCATATGTCTGAAATGTATACATAGTTCATGTAAATACTTAATAATAACAACCTGATTAATACACTTAAAAATAATGACACTAACACGCTTGGGGCCTTCAGTGACAGATCTGGGTGGCTCTTCTTACCCCAAGGGTCAAATTTGATATTTTTTACTTCAAAATAAAATAAATAACTTTTACTCCACAAATGTAAAAACATTAATGTGTCCACAAATCCCTCATTAACAAATAGACACAAAAACTTTGATATTCAACATAATAGTCATAGATCACTATTTTCCAGAGATACAAAATTAGATCAATTAACCTCAAAACTGATTCAGCCTACTAAATCTCACAAATATTCAAATGAAATGACAATTAGAATAGTGTAGTCATTCATCAAAAGAACTGAGATGAGATCTTGTCATCTATGGTCAAGAGAAGGTGGGTGTTAAGGTGGGTGGCTCATCTTACCCTATTTTTTTTATTATGTAGACTGTAAATAGACACCGCACAATTTTGTGTGTGTGTGGCCTAGTAAACCCTACATTATGGGGACAAAATGTCCCAAAAAAAGATGGCAATATTCAAAAATCCTTATCCTTGTGGGGATATTTTTTGGTCCCCATTAGGAAAACAGCTTATAAATCATACTAAGTGATGTTTTTTGAAAATGTAAAAATGCAGAAAGTTTTCTGTGATATACACCGCATATACAGATTGTACTGTGTGTTTACATATTTTAATGATTTAAATCTTAATAATAGGCCTACATTTATATCCTTTAAATATCATACCAAATATGGTACTCATATCTGTATCATGAAGGGTTTTACTTGCTTCCTTTAATAAAGCTTTGACACAGACTTCATCCTCAAACGCCTCTGGTCATTGTGACTAGTAAAAAATTTCACATTAAATCAAAACAGTCTGCACTTTTGCTTATGCATAATAATTCTGTATAAAATACATCAGGAATTCATTTGAAACATTTAGTCACAAATGTTAACCAGTGGGAATATGGGCTAATTTGAGTGTGCAGTGACCCAAAGCACCACATTTGCCTGCTGCACTAAACACTTTTCTCCCTTGGGATCACGTGTCAGTGGTTACAGCTTAGGCAAACGGTTATTTATAAAAAAACAAATGTAGGTACATCTAAAATAAAAAAAAGTAGAGCATCTGCTTGCCATTTTTATCTGTATGAAAAACGCATAACCGGTATGTTTTTAGTGTTTTCAAAAAAGTAGTCTACACACGAGTGACATCTGGTGTTCATAATGGTGCATCGCATGTTTGATCCACAGGGAACCCGTGGATGAGGTGCTTCAGATGCCGCCGTCTCTGTTGACCTGTGGCGGCTGTCAGCAAAGCATCGGGGACCGGTTCTTCCTCAAGGCCATCGAGCAGTACTGGCACGAAGACTGCCTGAGCTGTGACCTCTGCGGCTGCCGCTTAGGGGAGGTGGGACGCAGGCTTTACTACAAACTTGGCAGGAAGCTGTGTAGGAGAGACTACCTCAGGTAAGAAGTGAGCTTTTGAAGTCTGCATGAAACGGAAGTTGTGATATTTTCTTTCCTATTGTGACCTGTATCAGGCTTCTCAAACAGGAAACAATGTAGGGTGGGATTGGGAATTGATTGGATGGTTGTGGTTTGCTATTGGTTGATTTCATGCGTGTGACAGGTTGCCCCGCCCTCACGCTAGTAAACACGTCATCAGAGAAGAGATGTTTTAAGAAGGAGGGGAAGTTATTTTGATTAAAGATTATGAGGGCACATTCATTTAAAAATAATAGTGATGTGCACTATCAGCAAATCATAATTTGCATGTAATAAATAAGTAAATAAATAAACATGAATTGCACGCATATGTCTGTCTTCCCTATAGTGATAAAATGAATGTTCTTGTGAAGCATTAGGGATAGTTCACCCAAAAAAGGAAAATTCTGTCATCACCCTCAAGATGTTACAAACCCGTATGAGTTTCTTTCTTCTGCTGAACACAAAAGATATTTTGAAGAATATGGGTAACCAAACAGTTGATGGACCCCATTGACTTCCATATAGGGAAACATAATACTATGGAAGAGTTGTATGATCTCTTTATGAATGCATGAAGCGTCAAAGTGGTAGTTGTGTAGCTGTCACAAGAGAAAGCTCTCAAATTTCTTTATTTTTGAGCGAACTATCCCTTTAATGTCAAGTTTTGGCTTACAACAAGGGTTAGGGGCTGCTACATTCATATTCACCTATAATTTCCCAACTAATGGTAGGGTTAGGTTTAGGGGTAGGTGCTTTTGGACAGGAATGTTGTTTCAGGATGAACAAAGATGTTGATCCAGAAACACGTCTTACTTTGAAAAAAAAAAACGGTAATGGCGAAACTTTCGTGAATGTTGAAAAATGTGTGCAAAACAATCCCTCGCCCTGTTATATACACAAACCGTATTACTTTAATTTATCATGAATAGTTTATATGTGACTACCTACTACCTTTCAAGTGTGTGAATAAGTATGTTTTGTTCTCTGCAGACTGTTTGGTCAGGACGGGCTCTGTGCTTCCTGTGAAAAGAGGATCCGGGCCTTTGAAATGACCATGCGTGTCCGTGACAAAGTCTATCACCTGGAATGCTTCAAATGCGCTGCCTGTCAGAAACACTTCTGCGTGGGAGATCGCTACTTGCTCATCAATTCAGACATTGTGTGTGAGCAGGACATTTTTGAGTGGACCAAACTCAATGGCAGCATGGTATAGTGTTCTGCTTAAATCATTAACAAAATGTAACATCCTGTCAACATTTGCAACAAACCCTTTACTTAAAAACTATAAGGAAAAAAGAGGGTGACTTATCTTTCTGGCTCCAGAAGCCACCCGCCATGTATATCATCTCTGTATTTTTTATTTAAACTTGAGGTAAATAACCACCAGCAACATAAACTTGTTTTTCTATTAGTGTATTTTTAAAAACGGCATAAATACAGTTTCTAATGTTAATTGCAATAAAAGCTGACTCCCTTTGCTACTTTCACAGAAATTAAGATATGAATTATAGTGTTATTTGTAACACAACTGCCATAAAATGTGAAGAAATCTTTCTTAGAGCCTGAATAAACAAAATTACTCGTACTCTGGATTTTTTTTCCCCCTCAACCAAACGGATGTGAAGCAGAATGGAACTACTGATACACCTGAGAGAGACTCGCTTATCAATAACAACACATTAAAAGACAGCAATAACGCATTATATTTAAAATACACACTACAAGCAAAAAATTATTCATATTTTAATTTATTGCTGCATGTACACTAGTGTTTGGTTTCTGTACATTTCTTTTTAATGTTTTTGAAAGAATGAACTCTCACCAAGTCTGCATTTATTTAATTAAAAATACAGTAAAACAGTAATATTGTGCAACATTATTACAATTTCATAATGGTGCTCTATTTAAGTATATTTTAAAATGTAATTTATTCCTATGATGCAAAGCTGAATTTTTAGCATCATTACTCCAGTCTTCAGTGTCACATGATCCTTTATCCATAATCATTCAAATATGCTGATTTGGTGCTAGAGAAACAGTTAATATTTTTGTAGAAACCATGATACTTGTTTCAGGATGATTTGGTCAAAAGAAAAGTATTTATTTGAAATATAATTTCAATGTAAAATCTTTTACTGTCACATTTGATCAATTTAATGCATCATTGCTAAATAAAAATATTAATTTCCTTCAAAATAAATCTTGCAGACCCCAAACTTTTTTTTTACTAACTTTCTGTACTTTAAATTATGGATTTAAGAAATACAATTATCCCTGCTTAATTCTATAAAGTGATAAATCAATGGAAAAATTAGTCTGGGTAATCTACAAAGCACATTTTCATGGTCCAAAACTCTTTAAAGGATCATTTTCTTTTTTCTTCTTTTTTTCCCCATGGTCATTGTTCCCTGGCATATCAAAGGGCCGAAGGTTCACACATGATATTCTTTTATATATACACTGTAAAAAAAAAACAGGTGGTTGCCAGCATCATACCGTAAAAATACGGTGTGTTACTGTTTTTGAAATGAACAGCTAAATACTGTTTTACAATTAAAGTTTTATACTGTAGCTGACAAAAAGGTATTTAGCTGTTAATTTAAAAAAAACAGTAACACCCCGTATTTTTACGGTATGATGCTGGCACAGCTGCCAGTAGTTGTTTTTTTTTTATAGGATTATTTATATATATATATATTTTTTGTAAACAGTTCATAAAAACATTCACTCATACATGTCGGCAGGCAGACTAATTCAGAAGCAGTGCAAACATGACAGTTATTACCCTAAAAAGCTATTTATACCTAATCTGTCCCCCTGAAAATAAAAACTTTTGTTGATTAATTTAATGTAGGCTATTCAGGCCAATTCAGTCATGTTTGATAATATTTTTTTATATCATCCAGTTTAGGAAAATGCTCAGATTATGCACTTCACTTAAGTAAACACCACCAGTTCAAAGTGAGAAATAAGAACAACTGGTATTAATCACATCAGCCAACTTTAGGTCTGACGCAATAAAGAGAAGGTTCTCATTTACATCCAGTCATGTAACAGTTCAAAAGACTTGAAGCAGTGACTAATCCACCACCAAAAATAAAAAAAGCAACTGAGAAATCTCATATAATCTATGTATGCTATAGCCTATTCTATTCATACCTTTCTGGAGGTCACAGGGTTCAGGAGACCTGCATGAGGGGGAAAGCGACCAGACTTGTCCTGGCAAAGGAACACATCTGAAAGCCAGAGGTTCTAAATGATGTGTTATATCAGCTTTAAAAGAGTTCCGATGCTGAGCTTTACCAGAAGCCAGTGTTGAGCAGTCTTAGAGCATCAGTGAACCTGGCTTGGGTGAACGGACCACATCTACTCCTCGGCTATGTGCCTCCACTCATTCACAAATAAGAGTTAAACAGGCCACCATTACACTGATGGAAATTGTGAGAGAATCAATCTGTCTTGCAGCTGCTAAAGTTGTGTTGTTCGTGAAGCTCTTGATCCGTGGCATTGGTGTTCTCGCTATAAACAGAGGGGGGCGACAAATATCCAAACTAATGGGCATGAACACAGTGAAGACAGCGTAACCTATTGACATAACATAAATTACATGTAGGCTATATGATTCACATTAAGTTTCCATTAGTTTTCTGAGTTTACTAGAAATGACATAACTGTTGGTATAATGATTGAAGATGTAGGCCTACACATTTTTACTGAATATATATATATATTTTTTAGGGAATTTTTTTATATTCTTAAAATGTTAGTTCCTCAAGACAAAGTAAATGTTTTAACAAACAAAACATTGTTACTGTAAATCATTGTTAGGCTACGCTACTTTAAATCAAGAAACAATGAGGTTTGTTCTCGTGTGTCAAGCAGGTTCGGTTGAGCTTCTGTTTATGTTCCTGATCAAATGTCTTTGTGAATACAAGCCTAATTAAATCGGTTCATATAAAGTGTTCGAGTCTCTTTAGAAAATGTGGACTAAACCGCTCAATTCATTTGGATTAGTTTTAAGAAATTAATGACAGAATTATTTTTGGGTGAACTATCCCTTTAAAGGCCATATTCAGAAAACACTTAACCCGACGCGACTACTTATTGCTCGTGCTCGCGTACCGTGATTCAAGGCCCCGTTATCCTCATGGCGAAGTTCTTTTTCGTTCTTTGCTTAATAGTTAAAAGTTGGAAATACCTTTACAGCGATATACTTTTTTTTAACGAACACCCGGACCCCGTCCACGCTGTGGAGAGCGATGTTTATATGAATATGTAGCCTAATTATGTGCTGTGTTTTCCTCAATAACACAAACACAACAAAAATGACAGCGGTGAGAAAACAGCAGCTGATCATTGCGATGTGGATATGTTTGCACCAGCTCTACAATTCACTGGTATGTCGACAGATGAGGTAATTAAAATTACACTGTTATAATAGTTTGATTATAAAGTAGCCTAGCCTAGACCTAAGATATCTGGCTATATGTGGGACAAATTAAATCCCTTATCTTTGCATTGACATTACAGTACAGAATGGCTCTTTTGTCATTATCCTGAACATTGTATTGAACAATTAATTTCATGTGTCATTGAACGGAAGAGAGAAAAAAATCTATATATTCAATATGTAGACCCATATTGTGACAACGTGCCCCAATAGTTTCAGACATTGATATAGCTCTTGAGGGAACCTTCATGTGTGAAAACTAGCCCCGGTCTCTTCTTCACAAGATGTGTAAACCATGATCAAATATTATTTTCTTTGACAATAACACAACAAAATAGTCTTCATTACTTTAAACCTTATCCACACATCCATAGGGTCTCTTTACATGAAACTACTGTATGAGAAATGATTAGTAGAGATGCTGATGCAGCTTTACTGTGGAACATAAATCTTCTCCCATTCCATCAGTGGCTTTTACACGTGTTCCTGGAGTTGTACGTTTTCCCGAAATGCTTCACATCTGTAAGTGTTTCTGGACTGACCCAACAACTGGAGCTTCTTCTGTAAGGCCTTGCCTGATGGGGAAGATTAGAGGTTTTAAAGGCGCACATGAACATTTGAGCCACAGAATTCCTGTTGGATTCCAAGAATTTGAATCTTGTGTGCATCATCTAAAAGGTTTACAATTTGCGTGATGGCAGATAAAAGTACTGATCAAAAAAAAAAAAAAAAAAAACGAACAATACAAGTAAAGACTGAAATAGTTCCAATCTGATGAGGAACTTGAACCTAAAAGCATATCTGACCTCATACATGTGACGTGAGTGTGATGTGGATAGCCAAAGCATGAATGTTCTTTTGAAATTTGAATACTGAGATCAAACCTAGATCTAAAGGATCTATAAGATAGCATAAGGTTGCTCTGGTACTCTCTTTAAAAACCCACAAATCTGGAAATATAGAACATCCACATGTACATCTGCAGGTCATTATGATCTGATGCTTTGTTCAAAGGTGCTGTCATATAGTCTTTTGAAACTCCATATTGATGTGCACATTGTGTTCCATAGATTTGTTATTTGCAGCAATTATTTTTGGCTGGCAACCTCTCGGGTATCATTTTTTACATGTGGATTAGGAAACAAAATTATTTTATGTGACTATGAAACAATTTGACAAAGCCTATAATGACAGGGTAAATGTTCTGTGAGAAAACTGGCTCAGGTCAATAGAAGAAAAAATGAAATAAACAGACGGGTGATAAAACATAACTAAACCAAAGCCCGTCCAAAACATGGAAGAAATGTTTTTCATTATCTAGTGAATTTTCTTCTATCTATTATTTGTTCCATCTGCATCTTTCTCTCCAGCCTCCACTTTATCTCCATAGTTCATTTCTGTGTGATAGCAGAATCTGCATGGAGTGTGTTCTTCTGTGCTGTCTTCTATAGGCTGCCTTTTTGCACAATACGTAATTGTTTACAGAAACATTACTCTAAACTTTACAGCTTTCAGCCCCTCATCTATGATGATTTACAGTTAACAGACTAGCCCATAACATAAATCTAAACCAAGCGTCGAGAAGAATGTGCCATTTTCAGTGGTGGCTCCACATTGCAGTGGAAGAGTGAGATATAAGTGCTACATTTTGCACTATATTTTAAATATTTATTTGATGCTTAAAGGGTTAGTTCACCCAAAAATGAAAATAATGTCATTAATGACTCACCCTCATGTCGTTCCAAGCCCGTAAGACCCCGTAAGTTCATCTTCGGAACACAGTTTAAGATATTTTA